CCTTTATCCTTAATAACCTCAAACGAAGCAGCCCACTGTTGACCCACAGTAAAACGGACACACAAACTGCAGAACATTTCTACAGTGGAACACTGCACAGCAACAACAAGGGATAAAGGACTGCTAATGCAGCAGCGACGACGCTCCTAGAGACATTCTTTTCCATTAATACAACATTTATTTGCAGATTAAAATAAACACCTGTAGAGTTTTAAAACCCACAAGACTAGGATTCTCTATGTTTTAATGTGTCTGAATTGAAGTTTAAAAGTTTACCATCTTTTCTATGGGCTTTTACTAACCTCTAGAGGCCTATGTCCCAGCGCTACACTAGGTAAGTCTAAGACTATTTGATTCCCATACACGGGAACATGCCGTGTCATGATTACCCATGCATATTCCATGATGTAAACACGCTACTGTCAGAGCCGCTGATACTCGGGGGAGTGGGGTCTCCGCACTGTCCCAGGTGCCCCTGCTTCAGGGCTGTCGGGCCATTACCAGTGCAGGACCCACCGCAAGGCCCGCCCGGAGACACAGGGCCACAACAGGGTCCCCGGCAGCCCCTGCCCGGAGCCGCATGGCAGCTGGACACGTTCGGGCCGTTCCTTGGCGCCTGCTTCTCACATGCAATGCCTGCCCATCAACTTTGCGCTTCGTCTCTGAAGGCTGTAAACTGAACGTTCCTGTTGCCTTAATTTTATGCGATTGTTAACAACACTTGTGGACGGACACGGGAAGGAGAAATTGCTGTTCTGGAAGCTCTTTGCTCTCTTTCGCCCCAAAGCAGTCCCCGGGGAGGCGCCCTGAGTTAGACGCCCCGATTCGTGGTTCGGAGGAAGGAGAACAAGCCCGCAAGCTGCGACACGCGTGTGGGTCTTCCACCCGCACCCCAATCCGGTGAGCCCCGCCGCTCACACGCAGGCTCCCTTTTGTAACCGTGACCCTCCCCCAAACATCGGCACGGGTCCGAGCCCGGAGGTTCTGGCAGGAAGGGGTGGATTTGAAACCCAGTGGCCCGTGAGTGAACCCCATGTGGCCACCTCCCTGGCCTTTGGCAACCAGCGGAGTGACGGGTCCTGTGAGACAGAGGGGGGTCGCCGCTGTGGGACCAGAGGCGGCACCTCACTCACAGGCCGAGTCCCCCAACAGCGGACACAGCACACTCAAGCCCCTGCGGTGCCGCTACATGGTCATTCATACGGGATTGCCACCTTTGTCTGTAATATCACATAATAACAGACACATGCGACATTGCAGATGTAGATACTAGTACAGCTGTGGGCAGTAATGGCCGCCTCTTTTACTTCCCAGACGCCGCCAGCCTCGTGTGAAGGGCTCTGGGTACGTTACCTCGAATTGTCACACCGACCCGACAGGAAAGGCCTTGTTACCACCACTCTGTGCTGAGAACATGCAGGTTCAGGGAAGCGACAGGACCGGCCTAAGCGCATCTCTTCTGGCTCCAGATGCTGTTCTCTATCCCGCGTTACAACTCTCACCTCAGACTCGTCTGCTGTGGCTCTTTTTAAACCGTGGCCTCATGGAACCTGTGCACATGTCAGTCATAAACAGAACCGCACAGCCACTCCTGCTCCGGAACCGGGCGGAGACCGGGGGCTGGTTGTGCGTTTGCACACCTGGGGTCGTGCGGATGGGGACAGCTGGCTGCAGGTCCCGGGACACGCCTGCCTGCCGCCCACCTCCCATCCCCGGGGTGCCTGCCTGCACCCTGGCCAGGCCCTGCTGCTCAGCCCCTGACATTACAAAGGACAGGAAAGCACGAAGGGGCGGCAGTGGGATCGGGCTGATGCTGTGCTTTGAGGGACAGACAGAGGACAGGCCATGGCATCCGAGGACCATTCTCTCCTTCATTCTTTTCCTCTCTGACTGTCACTTACACCCGGTCTCATTCTCGAAAAGGTTTTGTTGTGGGACTTGAAAGGAGTGTGTTTGAATCTGAATTTAATAAGATATTGATTTACACGAGAGAGGGGTAGAGAGGCGAGGAAACAGACATGTGTGACATTGTCCTCACATACATTGGAATTGAAGATAAAAGTCTTTTCCAATGCGACATGCTGGAAATGTCTAATATAATTTTAACTGTAAATAGAGATACCTGTTACTGAACACATCTGCTTAAATAAAACAGGTATGTATGGTCCTGTGACTACGAGTAAATATCCATCATCATAAAAGGGGATTTATTAAACGCGGTTAAAGCTAAATGATCTTGGCAGTGAAAATACTATTGTCGTCGGAAACCCTGTGCTAAGCTCCTGCTACCAGAACCAGGTCTCTGGTCACACAGCCTCTGTGAGGAACAGCTTTCAGCTTTACAGCTGCAACGCTCCCATTTCATAACGTGGCCCCTGGGAACAGAGCCCACCGCACTGTACTGACAGGCTCCCAAGAGGAGGAGAAAATGAAGCGGAAGCTAGTACTGTTTTCCCCCTCAAATGTCAGAAAGATAGTCAGCAGGAAATGGTTGAATGTAGAATTCCTGGTGCATGCGTCTAGAAATGTCCCATAATAATTAGGCATGTTTGCGACCAATGAAAGCTACGGTGTAACCTATGAATTCCCCACGCAGATAAAACCTAGACAGGGATGTATTCCTAAGGCACTCACTCCCGTTGTTAAGCACGGGAGCATGTGCGAGGCAAGGACCTGAAATGGGGTGTGATGATAGGGTGGAGGGACAGCTGTGTTTGTTGGCTCATCTGAGCTCCAGGGACATGTCCGTCTGTCCGTTCGTGGTAGCGGCACTGCCTCTTTTTTATATTTCCTTGAGGAGGAGGGAGATGCTAATTGTCCTTTGAATATCACTCATTTTATGCAAGAAGATACAAAATGATGCGTAGGTTTTAGTCCCAGATGCCCAGTGCTGTGGTGGCGGAGGGACCCCCAGCCGGGGCGGGAAGGGGTGAGCGTTCGGCTTCCATGCAGTGGGTACAGAAGCGAATGTGTACATGGGAGGAAAGCTGTGGAAGGATGGGAACAGTACGTGAATCGTAGGGTTCCAGGCGGGCTATGGGGAAACCACTTGAGAATGTTCGCTGCAACTGAGACTTTTGGGGGTGGCTGTGCCTAATATTTTCAATTCTTTAATACCTGCACTCGGTCATATCTAGCTCTCTCATCATTCCTATCTCTGTCATCTCTATCTCTGTCATCTCTATCTGTAGCATCTCTATCATCTCTATCTCTAGCATCTCTACCTCTAGCATCTCTATCTCTATCTCTATCTCTATCTCTATCATCATTATCTCTATCATTTCTCTCTCTCTCTCTCTTGTTAATTAGCATCTATAATGGATGTCCTTAGGGTTTCGTTTACGAACCATAATTAAACAATATGCACATGTGGACTCATTCCCTAACTCCCTGGATATCTGATGACACCTTTCAGAATAACATAGTTCTGAATCAAGAATGTTGACGAGTATTTTCCCTACAGTCAAAATGCTGCTACCGAAGCTTGCAGTTTAGACCTGAGACACACAACTACTAATGCCCAGTTCTTATTTTCCTCGAAGAGGAGCCGTGTCATCTGAACGCCCACCTACCCTCGCGTTTGTTGGCTCATCTGAGCTCCAGGGACATGTCCGTCTGTCCGTTCGTGGTAGCGGCACTGCCTCTTTTTTATATTTCCTTGAGGAGGAGGGAGATGCTAATTGTCCTTTGAATATCACTCATTTTATGCAAGAAGATACAAAATGATGCGTAGGTTTTAGTCCCAGATGCCCAGTGCTGTTGGTGGCGGAGGGACCCCCCGGCCGGGGCGGGAAGGGGTGAGCGCTCGGCTTCCATCGGCGGGTACAGAAGCAAATGTGTACATGGGAGGAAAGCTGTGGAAGGATGGGAACAGTACGTGAATCATAGGGTTCCAGGCGGGCTATGGGGAAACCACTTGAGAATGTTCGCTGCAACTGAGACTTTTGGGGGTGGCTGTGCCTAATATTTTCAATTCTTTAATACCTGCACTCGGTCATATCTAGCTCTCTCATCATTCCTATCTCTGTCATCTCTATCTCTGTCATCTCTATCTGTAGCATCTCTATCATCTCTATCTCTAGCATCTCTACCTCTAGCATCTCTATCTCTATCTCTATCTCTATCTCTATCATCATTATCTCTATCATTTCTCTCTCTCTCTCTCTTGTTAATTAGCATCTATAATGGATGTCCTTAGGGTTTCGTTTACGAACCATAATTAAACAATATGCACATGTGGACTCATTCCCTAACTCCCTGGATATCTGATGACACCTTTCAGAATAACATAGTTCTGAATCAAGAATGTTGACGAGTATTTTCCCTACAGTCAAAACGCTGCTACCGAAGCTTGCAGTTTAGACCTGAGACACACAACTACTAATGCCCAGTTCTTATTTTCCTCGAAGAGGAGCCGTGTCATCTGAACGCCCACCTACCCTCGC